TACATTATATTTGAATATATAAATTATATTTAAAATTAGTGTACATAAATATTTTTAAACATATAAATTATATTTTAGATTTATGATAAATAATTTGTTTATAACAAAAAATTAATTTTTATTTATTAATTATTTATTTTAAATATTAATATTTAATTTATAAATAATTATGATAAATAAAAATCAAATTACATAAGAAATTAAAAAATTCCTACAAATCCTTCAGTTAAAAAAAAAACTCCTAAAACTAAAAATACTCTCGTGTAAGATAAAAGTTCGTATTTAATATATAAGAGTTGATTTCTTCCATTACATTACAACTGCCAACACTATTAACACTGTAGTGACTTCACCATATACTGAATTACTTCCTAGAGATAAATGTAGAAGTAATTAAATGGCAACAAACTAGATAAATGACCCAAACATATCACAATCGCGTATGATAAGAAACTAGTCAGAATATGACAACCAACTGTGGAAAAGAATCGTGAATAGCACATACCAGCATCTGTGTACGAATATTCTCTAGTTCAGATTCCTAATACAAATATCCAGGAACAATTGAAAGAAGCGATTAGGAACAACCAAACAACCAAAAATTCAATAAATGTAGTACAAATATAGAAAATATTGGACACAGGCATATAACTTACCTGCTCGTGCAAAGCCTCTTTTAACTGAGACACAAGCGCTACTCTACTTGCTTCAATCAACTTAAGTTTTTCTATGGATTGTTTCAAAAGATTTACCTCCTCCTCTAGTTCCTTTGCCAAAGTTTTTCTCTTAGGATCTTTGGCTGAAAAAGAAAGCAATATTAGAATCCTAACTTCCATAATTCAGGTGTTACTTCTGTTCTGTTCTGTTGTATTATGCTTACCAGCAATGCACACAATATCAACATCTTTTTCCATCTTCCTCACACGCTGAACAACAGTCTTGCATTTACTCATCTCTATATCTTCAACAGATTGTTCCCTAAGCACCACATGAAATGCAGACACTATTTTTTCTGCTGTATCTCCTATGGACAGTTTCTGGCATCAATACAATATCATGGAAGTGAGATATGAAAGAGCCATAGCAATCCTCTATGAAGGATGTAATTATCTAGCATCAATAAAATGATTGAAGTATAAATTGGGGAGAGTACGGAGTGTAATCACAAAGAAACTTGAAAACTCAATCTTAACGATTTGATGGAGTGAAAATCCCTTTTCAAAATTCTTACAGAACGTAACCGTTTTTTGCCAAATTCCAATGATGGAGGTGCATTTTCTCCAAGCATCAGATCTTTAAGGTTTCTAGCCCGAGATCCAAACACTCTCCTTTGCTCCCATATTTCAATCTAAAGTTAGGTAAGAACACAGTTAATAGATCAATATCAGGGTATGCAAATTATATGATCAGCATTTATACGCTATATCTAGAGTTTCAACCAATGTATGAAGAACTATCTCCAATGATTTTATATTCAATTCTTTCAAACACCCCTCTTCTTATTTATTGATTGACATGGTTGTGTTCACTTGTAATACTTGCATCAAATACAGTAAAAAGGGCTTACCAATCTAGATACCACATGGTTTCCATGATTATCACCTTGCTTGACAACATCTTTAAGTGCTGCAGGAAGAACCTTCCAAAACTCTATCACAAATTCATTCCCTTTATGCTTGCTTTTCTGCAGGATGTCATTTGCAAGATATAGAAGGGGGACCCTTTGAACCATCTCTGATTTGTCAAATTGATTTTTCCATGTGGCAATAACCAGTTTTGATTTGCTATGGTGAAATACGCACCAATTTGATAAAGCTATATCAAAAGTTAAGAACAACTTACATTGCATTAATGACTAATACACACAACAACCAAAAAAAATAAGAAGCCTTTTTCCTCTAGGCAAGACCAGCTACATGGATAAAATAATATCATTGTATTCTGTTAACACCAAGATTCCAGAATTGAGTTTTGTACTCATTTATATATATGAAAGAAAGCAGTCAAATAAGCAAGAATAATTGAATTAAATAAAAATAAATTAAAAAAAAGGCTTTCTTGCTTGCTTACTTGATTGCTTTCTTGGTTACTTCAGGATAATTTCAAAATTGAATGCAAATTTACAGCTGAATCAAGTAAACTTCCATAAAAAATATTGAATTCATAAAACAATGCAAAGAATTAGGCAAATAGCATTCATTCAGCAACCAAACTAAAACAGTGCAGTACAACCGAAGAGTCAATAATCAAATAGAACAAATTGTTTATAAAGGGTAAAAAAAACATTAATCAAGAGCCACAAAACCAACAAGAAAAAAGGATACTTTCAATGCATTGTTGAGTGTTATTAAGCTTGGACAACTTGTCTGCAAGTATCTGCTCGCTGAAAACACTATTCATGTTCTTCAACTCTTTGCCCTCACGGAGGAATAATCTATGATGCACTGATACGATACGCGTATCGGATACGACACGTATCCGATACAACGATACGATTATTTAAAAATATATAGGATACGATACTTATAAGATACGTGTCATCATATGTATTAATGTTCATACAATATAATAAATGTGTACTTGTAATTTTGATCAAAATTCATAAATATTAAATATATAATTGCTATTTTGCAAATCTAAATTAAAAACATACTTATTGTACACTACTAAAAGTAAATAAATTATAAATCATTTCATCATAAATTACTTTTTATTATTTACAAATAGAAATAATATTACTAATTTCATTCCTTTCTTAAAATTATCTATATAGAAGACAATTTTCATTTACAGTTCATCAAGGACCAATAGTTCTATGTTTCTATATTAAACATTTTTATATATCTTATTTAGCTGTAATAGATATTTCATAATTTTTCAAAAATTTGAACACTTTATTGATATGTATCACTAATAAATATCGGTGAACTATCTGAAAATATCAAAATTGAATAAAACTTTTATAATATTTTTAAAGGCTAGGATACTTCATTGACACGTATCGGTAAAGTATCCGAGAGTATCGTGTCGGATACGTATCGGATATGGATACGAATCGGATACGGATACGCGAAGCAAATTGAAGTATCCGTGCACGAACATTTCATTTTTCCAACACTATAACCCTGCAACATAATTGGGACCCAAACAAACTCCAATGCCGAAATCACTAAAAAAAATGAGAGAAGAAAAGGTTCAAATGAAAATCCGAACAATAATTGAATGCGAAGCATAAAGAAGAATTCAGCAGAAAAAGTAGTAGCAACAATGCTGGGGAATCAAGACTAATTAAATAGACCATGTTTTGGGAAAATTAGAATTCAAAGAGATCTTGTATCCCAAAAAAAAAAAAAAAAAAAAAAAAAAAGGAAAAAAAGTGATAAAGTAACAGAGGGAGAGAGACGTTACCCGGGGAATTAGTGAAGAAGGATTTGTGGTGCTGTGGATTTCGAAAAACCCTAAAAACGAATAATTAATCTTTGCAGATAAAAAAAGATGGGAAAAAGAAAAGATAGAAGAAGATGCGTTACTTGAAGAAGAGGTTTAAGTTCATTTGGCGCAAACCATGAAAATTGTTTCAACGGCGCTGGGCTGGGGGATTATACTTTATTATTTATTTATTATTATTTGGATTCTCTCATCTCGTGTGAATTGAATGTCTCCCTAATTAAAATTTCATACTTTAACTTTAATTATTTAAATTTCCTCTCTTATTTTTAAATAAGGGCATAGATTTTATTGGACAAAAAATGTTACATGAAAATATTCAAAATCTTATGTTTTTAACTAGGTGATGCATTTAAATGATGAGATTAAAAAATTAACTGTTAAAATAATTTATTCAATTTAATCTATTACAGATTATTTATTAGATAAGTCAATTTAGGTAGACTCATTTTTGGATGAGTTTATAAAAAAATAAACTTGACATAGTCCACTATAAGTTGATGGATTATATTGGTTGACTTACTAAAATTGAAAAAAAGATATTTTATAATCTTATTTCTTTAAATTATAGTTATATTAACAATAGAACAAACAAAATTGTAAAAAAAATAAAAGTAAACATCAACTACAGCTAATTTAATCAATTTATAATATCAAATAATCTCAAAGTAGTGACATAAAATGTTAACAAGTAATATCAAATTAATACTAATTATTGTAATTTATAACTAGTAAATATAAATATAGTCAATGATATAAATATATAATTACATAAATTATTTGGGAATCAAAAAAATAAAAATATAAATTACGTGAGACAACTCAACTTGACTCGTGGTGAATCAATTATAAGTGAGTTAGACTAATTTTTTTATTATAATTGGAATGGACCAAATTTGTCTGACTCAAATCAAATTTCAATTCGTAGTGAACTGAATTGATTTACAAGATTTGATTCATTTTGATAACTTTAATTGATATCATGAGTTTGATTGAATATACCAAAGATTGATAACTTCATTTCATTGTTTTTTTTAATCCAAATTCAAATAAATTTTAAATAAATTTAAATTATTATTTATTAAAGTTAAAAACTTACCATAAGAGGCAAACTTAGTGGTACATCATAAAACACTTATTTAACTACTTCATCTTATATTGATTTGTCGATATAACTCCAACTATCCTCATTCTTAATGGTTTGCCAATTTTTTTGTTACTTTTAAAGTTATTTAACTAAAAATTTCCTAATAATATATAGACCAAAGTTGAATTACACATTGTTAAGAAAATTTCATGATTATGTTCAAATTTATATTCCAAATGAGTTACAACAATTTCTTTGCCTAGGAGTTTATTAAGGGAAAAATTCACTTACAACTTTTGATTTACATTTTTTTGTCCAAGTTCAAAGGCTTAAACAACATAGAAATAATAGATGATAATCTTGATATCAATTGTTATTAGTCAATTTTATTTACTTACTTTTTTGTTAATATAAAGATAACAAACTATCTTAACGGGAAAAAAAAGTAAAGAAAATAGATTAATAATTGATGATATCAAGATTATCTTATATTATTATAATTTATTCGGAAGATTATTTAGGTTGTTTCAAGTCAAGATAGTTTATGACATTTGCAATAAGTTTCTAAGCATACTAAACAAATGCTTAAAAGAAAAAATAACTCATCACCTTTCACTTGTAATCTATGTTCTTGATGTTGAGTTACATTTTCTTTAGTATTTGATAACATAAACTTAATATAGATGCATCATACAATGTCCTTAGTTTAACACTTTGTAAAAGACTAACAAATTTTAAAATGGATTGTTATTAGTAAGTTTAGGAGGAAATAATCACATAAATTGCAATATTCAAGGTATGTTGATCCTTTAATGGTAGTCTACCAAGTTTCACAATTAACATTAGTTAACAAAAGTGATAACAATCTGTGTTCCTTACTCAAGTTGTCTGGAGTTCAATTCCTGACCTTAAATATGAATTAAATTATATTAGGGAAGAATAATTACGTTGTGCGCTTACCATCTTCAATAGATATTAGTCACTACTTTTAGCAACATATACTTCATATCAATACCATGATTACCAAAAAGATTTTAAAAAATTCTACCATGTTTAACGATGATGGAGGTGTGTATACATACAAGAACTATAAAAAAAATAAAATAAAATAAAATAAAATCATATTTTTTTTCAATCAAGATCAACAAAGTTTTTTTTTTTTTGTGTGTTACAAATGAGCTAAAATGTAAAAGTAAAGAAAAGAAAGCAACAACAACAATGTGAAATTATCTAGGTCTAGACTTCCCAATACGCGGTATACAAGTACCTATAACATCTACTTCTAAATTCAATAATAGATAAGTTGGAGTTTTTTTCAACAGTTGAAGATCGATTGAAGATGACAAGTCCTTCTGATGGAATCATGCCTAGGAAGGCAAGAGGTGACATATTGAAGGAGCCAAGAGGAGTTGGCTAGACATGAAGGTTTGGGCCAGTCAGGGCCCAATAGGCCTGATGGGCCTGGGAAGGCCCAAGTTGAACTTTTCATGGGCCATATTTTGTTATAGCTATTTTCATATGTTTTGTATACATCATGTTAGTATAGGTATCATATATTTTGGTCTTGTATTTTGGACCACATAGAGTAGCATTTTAGGTTTTAGGCTTGTTGGGCCTAGTTTTGGGCTTCATGGGCCTTTGGGCTTTTGGTACCCAATATTGGGCTCATTTTCATTCTTGTAATTTTTCCTTTCCATTGTATTTGTTTGACCATTGTATTTAGGTCATTAGATTAGGAAAATACAAGGAATACTAAAGTAGGCTAATTAGGTTAAATTAGGTTTAATTTGGAAGCCATTTAAGTTACATTTGAGTCACATGTTTTGCACCTTCTCCTAATTCCTAGAGAGAGAATCTTTTTCTTTTGCTTATGAAGCTCAAGCTAAACCCTCATCCTAACCCCTTTTTCACTCTTTCTTTCTCTCTCTCTCTCTCAACCAAAGGGAGCATTGTAAGGAAACATGTGACACTCATCACTACATAACTATTTCTCAATTAAATAAAATTATCATTATAACATATTGAAAAAAAACATTTTTAGAATATATGTGAAACTCATTACTTTCTAGAAAAAATTATGAGGAAAACAATTCACATTGTCTGCATTTTGATAACTCAATTTGTACTAAAAGCAAAAATAAAACAATTGACACTCCAATTGCATAAATTTCAAAAAAAGTAATTGTAACAAAATACTTTAAAAACTAACTAAAACTATGTCTTGATGTCTTAATTATCATAGCTTGCAACCTAAAGTAACTTAAATAATTGAAAATAAAATCCAAGTTCGTGATTAAGTTTCAAATAAACATCACCAACAAATGGTGTTTAGTTAAACAAATGCAAAAAATAACATACAGAGTGAGAACATATTCTTGCTTTGGCTCAAAGTATAACATGAATAATACATAAAACACACACACACACACACAAACACATGAGTTTGGTAATGTACTCACACCTCTTTTTAAGTTGGAATACATTAACAACTACACCAAAATTTCAAGACAAATAACCTATCTTTTTCATTATGTTTTAATTAATTTATGAATGATGAGGATCATATAGTTATTAGAATATATTTTTTTAAAAAAATAAAATATTTTTTTCTCTCCTCGATTCTCCCTTATTTAACTATTTTCTCTATCTTTTTTCATTTCTAATGTTGCTAGTCTTTTTCAACTCCTTGGGCCACCTTTTTCACCATCCTTTTGTAGGCAACAATCATCCTATGTCTTTTTTGAGTGGATTTCTTTCCAAATTTTCACTTTCACATAATTAAATGGATTGATTTTATTTGTTGTTGCATGCCACATTCACACGATGACTTTTCTATATCAAGACATCTACTATCAAAGGAATCAAATGTTTATTAAATTGGGAGATGTTAGGTTCCAATTACAGTGATTGTTTTATATTTCTTTGGCATCTGAGAGCATCCACTTTGTAAAAAGGGATAGGAGGGAATTAAAAACTGCCAACATTTTCCTTTCTAATTTAGTTATACTCACTTAGTTTTTTGGAAAATTCAGTTTTATTTCTTTGTAATTTTACCGACATGTTATTTGGATTAAGTTTATGAATATGAACTCTTTACCCTTACGTGATTGGAAATTTGATTTTTTAATGATGAATTTTTTTTTTATTTTTATAATTATTGTATATGTACTTCTCCCTACTTACTTCCATCACCTTCTTTGCTAGAGAGTGTGCACAATAATTACCTTATTGAAGAACATATTTGAGAACACAATTCCAATCTCTCGCTAACAACCCCTTGATATACTCCAACTAAGCTACATATTTTGTAGTGATAACAAGTTGTACCATGAACCAATTGGACCAAGTATAAACAGTCAGTCTAACATCCCACATGAGAATAGCCCTTATCCTAGCAAAGCTCCAAACCTTTCATAAGCGTCAATACTTCTGCATAAATATTATTGTTAATACCCAGGCTACCATCACGTTCAAAGTCACCCACAAATGACCTAGAGGGATCTAGGCTACCACACGAGTATTACCATCTAACAATCCCCCTTCTCGTCCTATACACTCATAAACTTGTTTGATGCAAGTGTGTCAAGCCAAGATACTTACTTGCAACATATAAACAAGCTCAATTTTACTTTTTGTTACGTGTTTTCCAAACCACCATCATTATAATGAAAACGATCGTCTCATGCCTCAAGCCTAATTTTTACATTCAATCCTTAAAAGATTGTTGACCCTTCGTAGTGACGAGAAGGCTTGATCAAGCACTATCCATAACTGACAAACTCTAAGACTTATTAAGTATAGAGAGATTAACCTTTAAAAAAATTATAAAAAAAAATTATTATACTAGAGGGATCAATCTCTTGACAATGTGAGAATTAAAGAGAAATTTCTTTATAAATAAAATTATGAACACATTATTCTTGTAAATGTGATTTAGGGATTAAATAAATAATTTTTTTAGAACAAAAATGCCTAAAAATATGATTGAAGTAAAATTTATTAAAAAATTAAAATAAAAAATTACAATAAAATATTGTTAGATATGAAAGCCAAAATAAACTTGGCTAAAACTATCTATTGAGATTCCTTTGAATATGTTTGGTAAATATGCGATTTATTAGGAGTTAAATAGTATCACGATTTTGATGGTTTACAACTTTTAACATACCAAAAGACATGAATTCCTCTCATTAGTTGATGGTCACAACTATAAATATTACGTGTGTAACTTTTTAAGTAATCCACCATCAACTAATGATTTTAGTCATTCATGCATAGTTGCAGAATATTGAACAAAATTTCTGATGTTCTTGAAACAATTTTTGATGAATGACTAAGATTATTAGTTGGTATTCACAAACTATCATTAATGCTGATAGCGAAAACAAAAAATATCTCCAACCCCCTTATCCACCATAAGAATAAGAAATAAAAAAACTCACGAGTATCAATCTATACTGTTAAACAATTTTACCCTTATAACTATTCTTTTATAAATTACAAACTTTTTCATTTTTTTTTTAAATTTCACTTCATTCTTTTAAAAAATTTCACTTCATTTTTTTTTTTTAAACTCCACTTCATAACAATGTTTTTTTATTAACCACCCAGTTTTATATAATTTTATTATTTATTATTTTTAAAGATAATTTACGGAGGCACGTCCGCTAGTTTTAAGATTGGAGGTCCAACTTTCCCATTTTCATTAAGTTTAGGCGGTTGTGATTTACCCTTGCTAAAACGGTATCACTATAATAGATTTCCACAACTGCATGTGCGAATAATGTTCGCACTACATATCTACTGTTAATACCAAGGTCAAGAACGATGAACAAATCTTAAACAGGCTTTCGTTTTAACAGTTTTCCCTTACATTTACCTAAGTCATATATTATAATAATAATAATAATAATAATAATAATACACGTCATATATGATGATTTTAATGAAAGAAATACATTCTCCTCCGGAAAGATGAATAAATATGCTACTCAACCTTCCTACGGTGGTAGACCTACTGCTGTATTTTAAACAATCACGAGGCTCGAAGAAAGAGTATGGTCAATCCACAGACTAAAAAATAAATTGACATTCAGCAAACGAAAATACGTGGGAAAAAAATAAAAAGCAAGGTACTTTAAACAAATTACGCATCTTGGGGGGGGGAGGAGAAACATAATCTAACGTCAAGTTTTTCCATAAAAGTTGAAGTTTCTGGTGAAGGTTCACTTAGCCTAGTTCAAACAGTGGGGAAAATCTATCAACCCCTGTAGCTCTTAGTTCACGACGGTTCTAAAACTAAATAAATATAAGTCTCAATATGCATTGGCAACGCAATTTCTTCCCGAGACAAAACACCATCAGATCCGCCAAGAAGCATTCACAATAATTCCATACCACGCACAATGAACAAAAATAGCAAAATCAGTAAAAGATTCCAGGGAAGAATTGCAGGCTAATGCCCTACATACTGCCTCATGCTTTTACCCTGTGCTGCAAGTTTTGCGGCAACTTGCTCTTCAGACAAAGGTAAATAGTAGATCCGAGGAGTTGCTGTGGTTTTGCGGAATAGATCATCCAGAGTGACAATAGGTGGATCAACTTTCTCAGGAAGGGGTGGTGGAGATGGAAGCCGCTCTCTTGCTACTGGAGGGGTTTTTGATAATGGGGGTGGAGGTGGGAGCGTAGCTGGAGCTGGATGCTGCTCCCGGTGCAGACGGGGTGGAGGCTCTGGCTGTGAGGAGGGGGGTGCAGGAGGAACTGTTGGAGCAGTGCTGACAGAGGCAGCCTGAGTAGGAGGAGGTTCTAACTTCATCTTCACTTCTTCAGGATCAACATACTCAGCAACTAAGAGACGCCCACCGTTTGGTGGCCATTGCAAATTATACACAGCATTTCTAGTCTCGATAGCCTCTTCCACAGACGAGTACTATATCACCGGAAATCAACAAAACATTACTTAGAACCAAGTGAAGAATATAATTAAAACATCACGAAGGAATTTACAGCTGCAAGAAGACAGAGAAAAGAGTTGTCTTACAGTAACATAGCAATGGGTCTTTATTTGGTCCATCCAGAAACTGCTGACATTCCCAGTCTTACCAAGAAGTTCTTGCACTGCTTTTAGGGTAAATGGACGGAGGAAACGATCAATCCTGAGGGAATTAGTTGGGGAGCTTTGTGATGGTGGAACTGCCAAAAATTAAAATAAAAACATTATTTAAACTTGAAAAGCAGAGACATAAGTTACAACACATGCCGGTATGACACAAATGCAATCCATAAAATAAAGATGTTGTACAGCATACATAAACAACATACACCTATGTAAGAAGAGAGAAACAAATATTTTCTGAAGTTGCTCAGGTGTATTTTCGACCTAACAGAATAGACTTACTTTTATTCAAGAGTATTACCAAGATAATTAATAAGACCATTTACAAGAGAACAATTAGGATACCACCACCACTTCCTAAGATGTATCAAGGCCACTTGAAAAAAATAAACAGTTAAGCTCTTATCCCCTAAAATATTCATATTTCAAATTCCAACAACATATGTAAAAGCATACAAAGACCTAGTCTTGTCTCAGTAAGTGCAAAAGTGCATGAAAAACCAACAAACAGATAAGTGTCCATCGTCAGGGGGAAAAAACTCCACAAATGCATTTAAGAATATAAGATATGTGCTTTGAGAAGTGTCCACGATTAAAATTTGGAAGTGCCAGGAATTTATTTATTTGAGCTGCAAGCTAGGAATTGAAATTTGATCTTCAGTAATACCATTGACACATCAGAAACAGGAGCATCAGTCTAATCAGAACAGTGTTAACTTACCAATGCGTTCTTTAGGTGCATCATCAGAAACAGAGGAATCAGACCTAGAGAAGTTGCGTTTCAGAGCAATTGGCTCATCTTTAGGTGTAGTAGCAGGTCTGGGAGTAGTGCTTTGTGGTTCTGGACCTTTAACTGTTTCAGTGTTCCACCTGCGTTGCCTTTTTGCAGGCTCATTGTTCCCAACTGATGCTTGCTCTGCGGCAAAATATTCCAAATAATACAAGGTGATTAAAAATAAAGAAAAGAATAATAAAACAAAATGCCAGCAATGCAACATATAAGTGCACATAATATTTAATTTCCCTTCAGGAGTACAACCATTAAACAAAAAGTGTCCATTTCAGAGAATATGTTGCTTACCATGAAATTTTCTTTTCTCAGCCGGGGCAACAGGACTAATATCAACATCTTGGCTGGTATCCATTTTTTCTGCAGATAGACCATCTCCCACAACTATAGTACTAATTTCCTCCTTCACAATAAGCTTTTCAATACTCTCTACTTTATCAACATTAAACTTAGAATCAATTTGCTTAGTCTCAGGCAAATCCTCTTCCATGGAATCATCACCAGAACTTCTGTCCAAGTTCAACTTTTCTGGATACCCCACATCATCACTGCTATTGGTCTTGTTCAAGTCTGGACTTGAAACATTATTGATATTTTCTTCAACAGAAGCCTTTTTCTCATGCAGCCCTCCAACATCCATTGAATGAGATTCATCATAAACAGGTACATTTCTGGATGATGGTTCTTCCACCATCTCCGGCCTAACAATATCTTGTTCTAATTTGACATTATCAGTAATTATAGTATCCTTTAGTTCATTCTTTTGATTAATTGACACAGAATCAGTAGAAATAGAATCAGATTTTACTTGAGACCCTAAACTAGGGTTGACCTCAGATACCTGGTTTTCTGGGACAGAAGAGTCGGGCACAGGATCCTCATGCAAGGGCTTTGTGTCACAATCCATTTGGGGCTTTGTGTCCTCATCATCCAGCTGCGCCTTTGACTCCTCATTCTCCAGCTTTGCTGCTGAATCCTCATTATTCTTTTCTGCACGATAAGAATCCTCACCACTGGCTACTACTTCTGTTAGTACACACTTGGCGACGGTAATGGTGGTCTCCACACTAGACGTATGGTCAGTTGCCTCCTCTCCCACATTTGCAGAATCTCCACCAGCTGGAAAACCCTTATGTTCAACTTCTTCCTCCATGGCTGACACACTATTATTAATGTCAACTTGGACAGTATCACCATCCTGTTTATCATTCTTATCACTGTCATGATCCACAACCTCCGGAATCTTTTCCACACTTCCAGTTTCAACCGGTTCAACTACACCACTATTCCCCTTTTCAACAGCTTCAAGTGTTTTTGCATTGTCCCTGACAGTTGTATCAACCACTTCAGCATCCGCATTAACCGCCTCCGATTCTTTTTCCCCATCTACATGACCATCGAATCCATTGGCCTCGTCCTTCTCAGCAGCATCATCCTTGTCAGAAGCCTCATCAACCTCCCTTTCAAGACGAAGGGCTTCATCCAAACGCCTGATCAAATCATCCTTCAAACCTTTGGCACTTAACCTCCTCCTCTTCAGCTCATCTCTCAGCTCTGTAACCTTCCACTGATTAATGGAACGATTGTCGAGAATCTGATATTTTGGCGACATTGTGTCCAAACAAAAATCACCTTCCTTAACCTGTCATCAATTAAATTCATCACAACAAAGGAACAAACAATCTATCGATTCAAACAACGACAGGGTTCATCCCAAAATCACTGTAAACTGAACCGAATGTGAAAAAGAAAATACCGCATACAAATTATTTGATAAAACTGCAACCTGGATAAAAGATTTTGGTACGGAAAGAGAAATGAACCTCAAAAATGAACAACGGTAAGATCGAAGAGAAGCATGCAATTTCAAAAAGATAATCTCTAAAAATGAAATGAAAAACAATTTATAAATAAAAAATAAAGATACTTATATGAGGCGAGAGAAGGAGAAGGGATAATTACTGACAATGATGATAGTTTGTGGAGAATCTCGAAAGAGGCACGCTCAAGGAAACCCTAATTTGATAGAAGAAAAGGGGGCAGCAGAGGAGAAAAACAGAGAGGCATGGAAGGTTAGAGTCCCGAAGCGAAGAACCAAAACGAATGCACTCTCCTTTATTACTCTTCCTATCCCTTTCTTCCTGAAAACACCGAAGCAGAAAAAATGTCCACAAAAAACGAAACAAGAGAGAAATTAAAATTCAGTATCAGCAAATGCTTTATCCAAAACAAATATAAAGAAAGAGGATGAGATTTTCTGGAGTGAGAAATTGCTTCTCTAAATCTTTTCTAGGGCTTTTTTTTTTTGTTGGTCGAGGGTTCTTTTTTCTCTGTGGCGATTGTGTGCGCCTTTTGTTCCGTTCCGTGAGGAACCCTGGAGTAATACCGAGTGGGTCTCGTTTCCACAGCGGTTCGTAACATTAAGATTTGCCTATTCTATTGTAATCCCGATAATACCCCTCACACGTGCCTTCAAAGTAATTGGGAATTTCTTATCACCAGGCCTGGGCTTTTGTACCTCATATGGGCCAACTTGGAATACTTCCAACCATTTTGACGACTCAAGCCCAATCTGTGTACGAGGAACATTCTATTTGATTAATGATATTTACTTTTTTTAATATAAGTACATCTCCTTTTTTTATTAAACAAAATTTTAAAATACTTTAAATTTTTTATATTTTAATTTTTTTAGTTTACACCTCTAACAATTTAATTTAGCATTTTTTTCTTTTTTCACGGATACCTCTTTTCCTTTACCTTTCGATTTTCACATGTTGTATTTTATCTTTTCTTCACTCTCCATTTATTTCAGTAGGTAATTTTATTTTTTTCGTTCTTTACATTACTATTTTCTCCCTTTTCTTTCAATTTTCACATTATTACTCTCTCTCCTCTTTTTAGTTTTTCATGCATCCAAAATATAAAATTGAGGCACAAGTAACTTTTTCGATAATGTTAAAAGTGTTGTTGGATCGAGCGCTTACCACTAGGCCAAAAGCTATAGCTGATAGTCAGGACGCAACTCTTTCTACTTAAGAGCGTAGCAGCCCAAGCGCCATGATTCGACAGTGACTTGGCCCACCTAGCCTCCGCCACGGGACAATTGATGCAACCCGCAACAACTTGTTAGTCCCTTAGCCTCAATTAACTTAAGAGGGGGAGTGAATTAAGTTTACTAAATTTCCTCTTAAAAAAAAACTTTTCCAATTACTTCTTTATCAATTTATTTCCTTAGACAAATTTGAAGGAATGAATGATGATGCAAACTACACAATTATAATTAATAACAAAAAATTAAAAGTGTAGGAATGAAGATTTGCAAACTTGATTTTATACTGGTTCGGCCAATCCTGCCTACATCCAGTCCTCAACTCTCCCACTTGAGATTTTCACTACTCTTGTAAACCTTACAAGAAAATGAATCCTCCAACACCTCAGAACTCCCTTTCCTTGTGTTGAGATTCAAACACCAACAAGGAGAAAAACCCTTTTCTCCTTTACAGATCAACAGATCAACAGGGTATTACAGAATGACTCTCTTTAAAAAGTAGATATTACACTTTCTAAGAACTTGATGAACTCTTTAGATAATTATTTGCAAATGATTTTGGCCAAGTAGTTTTTGTAAATGATTTTCACAATAGAGTTCGTCACCTTTCTCTGAAAAATTATAGGTATTTATAGACAATTGTATCTTGAGTTATGTCTTTTCATGAAGAGTTGTAACTCTCTATAATTTTTCAGAAAATAGGCTCTGGTAATCGATTACAAGACTTGGTAATCGATTACAACGGTTTAAGTTCAAAATGTTTGAAACGTTGTATAGTTCAAATTCGAATTTTGAAAATTTCTCTTCTGGTAATCGATTACAGTCAGTGGTAATCGATTACCAGAGAGCATTTTAACATTTTGAAAGGTTTTCTTTCTCTGGTAATCGATTACAGCAAGTGGTAATCGATTACCAGAAACATGTCACTTGTTTTGGCTTATGAAAACTTAAGATATAAAGAGCTTCTATTTTCCAGTTAAAAATATTTTTGTTTAATCTTTTGAATACTCTTTTTGCTTTCTTTTCAAACAACTTATTCTTATATTCAAAAGTATTAAGTTTAGGTTTTCTTGAAATTCTTATTTTAATGGCCAAGTCAAATTTGCAAATTCTAAAAGTTCATTTTACATACTAAGCTAAGCAGTCAAGACTTGTCTAGTTATTACTTGAGATCTTGCTGCTTGATCAGCTTGCTTTAACTTGACCTTTATTTTTTTCAATGTTTTGGCATCATCAAAACTTTGTGCATATTTTCTTCCACAAGTGTCAAGTCAAATGTGTTTTTTTAGCGTTTTCTCTCATTTACACGTCTAGAAAGCACATTAAACTTAATGTTACAGATAATCTTAGTGTTCTTAAAAGTGCTTTTTCATAATAGTAAAATTAGTATTTTGAAAAATATTTTCTAAAATTGTTTTTAACATACTTTTAGAAAGTACTTTCAAACACTAAATTTACTGTTTTTTAAAGTATTTTCAAAAAATTAATTTTACTATTCTGAAGAAAAAAAATTCAGAATACTCAAATTAGTATTCTTAAAAGTATTTTCCAAAAGTAAGTTATTTTATATAATTTTGGAAAGTTCTCTTTGAAACAGATAATTTATTGTTCTAAAAAGTACTTTTTTAAAGTATAAAAAAAATTGAAAAATTATTTTCTAAAATACTAAATTTAATATTAAGATTTCTAAAACTGTGAAAGGGTAGAATATTCAAAGAAAATATGCGCATTTAGCTTAATATCTTTGAAACTATCAAGGAAGTGGCATGTGTTTACAACGTCATTGTACATCAGCTTTTACAGTCTAAGTGTATATGAAAATTGAAAGAGGTGAAGGAAAAGAGAGTAATATGAAAACTGAAATAATTAAAATTATTTACTATAATGGGTGAGAAATGAAAAAAGTAAGGGAGTGCATATAACACCTGAGAAAGAGAAGAAAGGTGTGTGAAAAAGAGAAAAAAGTGTTCTATTGAAAGTTAGAAGGATAAAATTAATAGATTAAATAATAACAAAATTAAGGATATTATAAGATTTTTTTTATATAAAAAGGAGATATACTTATAAAAATAAATAAATAAATAAAAAAAGTGTATAAATCACGAGCCTTTTATTTTTATTCATAAGAGGGCATTGGCACAAACTAAAAACGTCTTAAAAAAAACTACACGCAAATGACTTGCAATGATGTGATTCATAATAGTTAGAGTTTATTTGAGTATAAAGACTTTTAAGAATTTCTTTGCAAGATATACTTTTCATCTTTAAGTAGAAAAGTCATGTTAAATTATACTTAAATATACTCTTATTTAACTTAAATAATATTTTCTTTAATAGATGATACAAGTGATCTATACCAACAAAAAAAAAAGGTGAATTTATTTTTTAAAAATTAAATAAAAATGTTGGTAGTATATGCATTTAGTACACATGGTATTATTTCACATTTTCTTCGTAAAAATTTATAAATTTAATCTATTTAATAAAAAAATAATTTAAAGGTTAAATTGTAAAATAAATAAATAAATAAATATGTAATTTTATTTAAAATGATTATTATTAATATATTTATTATTTACTATTATTGGTATTTTTTACTGTAGCAGTATTTATTAGTAGAATTTATATTTATTCATCATTACTACTTTATTTTACTTTTAATTATTGTTTCGGAGAGGGACCCACAAGGGAAATAAGTTTGAAAATTGTCACTACCTTGCCCGAGTTTATACATCTATACCACCTACATATAGAGGAGATTTATTATTTTGGTGTACACATTATTATTAAAAACTTTAACCTTTAAAAAATTATACAACAGTAATTAATAAAAATAAAAAAAAAATTAATTTTTTTTAAATCTCTTAATAACCATCCACTATATCTACTAACTTTTATGTATTCAAAGAAAAGCATGAAGTATCTTTCACCCACTAATATATAAATATATGAGGAAGGTTTAAACGATATCGGTATAATTTTTATTAAATGTTATACTGCTCAATAAATTTATATTAAATGTGATTTTAAAAATCTAATCGTTAGATTAAAAATTCATATCTCTTAGATCATATATGTCAAATTTTGTTAAAATTGAACAACAACTTGAAGGTAATCAAAGTGTTCATATTTTAATATATTTTGAAATGTATATATTACGTCAATTTTGTTTTATGAGAATGAATTATCAAATCATCTTAAATTAATACAAAATTAGACATATATGATCTAAGAGATATGAACTTTTAATCTAACGGTTAGATTTTTAAAATCCACATTTAATATAAAATTATTGAGCGGTGTAACACTTAGTAAAAGTTACACCAGTATCGTTTGAACACACACACACATATATATATATATATATATATATATAAGAAAGTTGTGTAACAAAGTCATTTGCGATTGTGTGAAGAATTAATTTAAGGCTAAGTATCCATAAATGATCACTCATACTACTCTTCAATTCTCATATATCAAGAACAATTTATAAAACTTTTTTTTTTCCCACTTCTTTGCCCTCCTCTTACATTTCTTATTTACCAAAAACAACTTCAAAGTAACTTGAACCCAACACAAAATAATTATATTATAACATTTATAAAATTTAAAATATCAATTTCATTTTTCACACCTATATAACAAGTTTAAATGTCTAACAATATGTAAAGTGTAAAAAAAAAATTACAATGTCAACCAATAAAAAATTATTATTTATACAATTTTTTTAGATAATTATTATAAAAGTTAATAAAATCGTCATACATGATGACTTGTGATTGGATGATACTATTTTTTATTTCTAATACATATAAGTTTAGGTGAGTAAATTGAGTCTAAGGCTCACTAAAATATAACAAATCTCAAAATTCTTTGACTGTTTAGAGAGTTATTTATATATTATTTATTAACAATGTCCTTACATTAGCAAAGAAAATCAAACCCAATTTCTTTTGAATATTAGTTTGTTTTTTAACAACAAACTTACCATATATCCTTCTCACAATGTTATTCTATGAATTTTTTATATATAAAAAAATACTAAAAGTTGTTAACAATTTTATTCTTTAATTAAAGAACCAAGATTAAATTTTGCAACCTAAATAAGAGTTATAACTTCTAAATATATATGATCTGTCATAACCTTTATGTTAACGACGTGATAACAACTAAAACTAAGAGTTATAAATCTACGTGGAATTTTTTTCCCAAAATGTATTAGAGACTTCAACACATACTTCTTTTACAAAATCATTTTCTATTTCTTCAAATTGTTTTATCATTGACAGATATTTTTATTATTCTTCGATTCTATCCTTTTATATTCTATTTCTTATTGTAAATG